GAAACGTTGGTTAACATCGACCAGACTACACAGCGCAACATTCCAGAAGACAGTCATTGTCAGATTCTCTTGTGTTTATTGAACGCCTGATGGTTTAAATACATTTTGAAGATTTCCGTCTTCTGGGTTGTTGCGCTGTGTAGTCTGGTCGATGTTAACCAACGTTTCAGAGGTCATACTGCCTCCGTCATCAGGGCGATGAATTCAACCCAGAAGACAGAAATCTTCATACTCACCGCTGTGAGAACCTCAAGTCTTACATGTCATTTAATATTTGTGCGGGGTAACATTTTGATCTTTTCATAAAACGTCATAGTAATTAATACATATTTGGTGTTCCTAGAGAACCGTTGGGGTGGTCTGGTGGGAGGAAAATTCTCATTATTTTGTGGAGAAATTAATTCAGAAAATAATTCCTGGAAAGAAACAACTGGGAAGACCTAGGCGTTGATGGTAGTAGATTGTACAAATGACTGTGACGTCAGTGTTGCGAATGTTATCTTCTGCTTCATGATTGCCATTGAGACAGTTCCAGTCTCAGCTGCAGCAAAAATTATCTCAAGGGCGAGAACCACAATCTGTCAACTTTTGCATCCGGGTGTTAAAATTCCTTTGTTCTGTCACAGGCTCCTCGGTGGGACAGTTCCAGTCTCAGCTGCAACAGTTATCTCAACAGCAGCAGTCGCAATCTGTCAACTCGTACATCCAGCTGTTGCAGCAGAGGGAAGATGAGAATAAGGCTGAAGTTGAGAGGCTGACGGCCGAGATACGATCTCTGAAGCTGCAGCTCCTGCAGGTAGCAGGTAGGACATTTTCTCTTTTCCATGTTGGTCGATAAAAATATTTACAAGCCATCTTCATACTATGGTTCGCTAAGTGTAATTGCGTTGTGTCACAGTGGATCAAAACTTATAGAAGTGCAAAATATAATACAAATAAATTCGACGTTTTCCTGAAATTTTAAAGCGGTTGCTTTAAAAGTCGGGCTATTCCAAGTAATCGTTACAAAGTATGGTGTACGTTTCTGAAATTAAACATCGTTTTATTCTACCAATTTTCAGTAGGGTTGAAGTCTTCCTCAGATTTTGAGGGGAAAAGGGTAAATTCTTGGAATGCATTTTACAGTGTTATTTGTTGATGAACATTTCTCATTGTGGTTTCTTTGAACATGTCAATGAGAAACTTGTCATTGCATCTTCGCCATCATTACATCGGCGTTTTTAAATATTAATTTTTTTTTAGTTTTTCCGCTGTCAAAAGTAGCTGTTTGAGAGTCAGGCAGCGCAACAGTAGACTCTGTGCTACGAGATGTCAAACGAACTGCTATTGTTTTGTATTGTTTTCATCACGTTTTGTCATAGTCCCCCTCCCCGCACCGAAATGCTCGTTTGCGTTAAAATGGTGTTGCCATATGCCTGCATAATCACATCCATTATTACTCATTTCTTTCTCTAGCTCTTTGATGTCAGAGATTATAACCTGGAAGCGTAGGCTCGGTGTAAGGATTCCTTTTGTAGACTGCAAGTTTCAGTTCAGTGACGTAAGAATTTCTAGTGATAATTCTACAAAATATGGTGTTGGAATTGTAGAGTCTGTCTGTGAAAAATGTAACGCTTATTGAGTTATCATTTTATTTAAACAAGTTTCACTATAAATTTGTGTTGTTGGCAAACATTTAGATTGTAATTTTTGTTGTTTTCCTTATAATAACGTTTGCTTGAGAACAGCTGGTCTAGAATGTCCAGCAGGCAGATGATTAAGGAAAACATTAATTAACTAATGTTTACTGAAACGTCGGATCCTTTCTCTTTAATGAGAAATAACAACGAAGATAATACCCTCATATTATATATCAAACTTCTGAACATAGTAGCACATTGAAACAACAACGTGTAAGACCGTACTTAAACTTAGAAAAGTAATTAGTTGGAGAGTTAGGTTACGTTAGGCATAAGAGGGAAACTTGGTGTAGGGTAATCTGTAGTTCTTCTTTAACAACCCTGTAAAACTTGACTGTAGGCGTGCAATGAACTGCGGGAAATGGAAATCCTAGTGGAGATACTTGAGCAAAACTACGAGGGCCTTTCGTAACTAAGTATAATTGGTGTTGCCATCTGCAGTCTGTTTTACATACTTCCTTGTTTGCTATATTAATAATGTTAGCTCATGTTCTGCAGTCTCGGCCTTTGAGTGATGGCAGGGGGGGGGGGGGG